GCTAGGGCACCGGACTACCTTCACGTTAAGGGGCATGAAGGTGATACGGCTAACGAAATGGCCGATGCCCTTGCTGAGACAGGGCGCGCGGGCCGCGGTTTTTCGCCGTTTCTTCTTGATCTCCGCACCTGGTTTGCTGATGGCGCACAGCCTTTCCAATGGATCCCGCATCTTGCATGGATGCATCGTGCGCCTAACCAGGCGCCCATGCTCTACGAGGATGTGATGTCTTGGCATGAAGAGGAGCCCACACCCACACAGTCTGCCTCCGATTTACTCGCCCCATTTATGCGTTCGATGTCTCAGGAGGCCCTCGCAGAAAGCCCCTCAACAGGCTGCTCATGTCTTTTCGTCACTTTCAACGCACTTTCGCTTGCTCAGCCCGGGGCCGGTGCGGAAACCAGCGCGGCTGGATTGCATGGCAGCACAGGGCGGGTCACACTACTTGACTCCGCGCTGTGTAGTAAAGGGGTCTTTATCGCAGGTATTCAGGAGGCCCGAACCCCCGCCGGGACTTTTAGTACCCCACATTACAGACGCTATGCTTCCGGCTGTTTGGACGGCAAGCATTTCGGCATTGAGGTTTGGGTTGGCGATGGCCCTCCTTGGCCCTCGCATGCGGCGGCGGTGATCTTTGCCTCCCCAACCTGCCTCGCATTGAGGATCGATTTTGGGTCATTCCACATTACTGTGATTGCGGGCCACGGGCCTCATAAGGGTCATTCGGTTCCACACCGCGAGGCCTGGTGGCAGGACCTGGCTCATCGGTGTTCTCGCCTGCCGAGTACCATTCCTTGTGTCTTTCTCTTTGACGTCAATGGGCGTGTCGGGTCCATTCAAGACTCCTCCATTGGTGATCATGAGGCGGATGAGGAAGATGACGCGGGGCAAGCATTCCGAGCCCTCATTGGCAAGCACCAAGCGTGGTGCCCCGCCACATTTCAGGCCTTTGCGTATGGACCAGGGGGTACCCTTTTCCAGAAGAGGAGCAAGAAATTAGACCGTAGCGACTTCGTAGCCCTCCCTTTGGAGTGGCGAGACGCTGTTGTCAGAGCCGAGGTTTTCCCGGACATTCATGTCGGACATGCTGCCCCCGACCATTACGCCGCGGGGGTTCTGGCAAATCTTACCCTTCAGAACATACACCAGTCCCGTCCTAAAAGGATCGACCCTCGAGCCCTAGTAGACCCTGCCAATGCCCAACACATTAGGGACATATTGGCCGACACACCTCGCGTGACGTGGAATACCAATGTCAATGAACACGCATCCCTTGTTGTTGACCATGTGTATTCACGTCTGGCTGCCGCCTTTCCCTTGGGTGGACGCAAAATGCGGCAGCACTTCATCACACCAGCCACCATGCAATTACACGAGCGTCTAGCTCGCCTACGGCAGGCCCTCCGCAGATGTGTTTGCAACTTAGCCAACACCAGGCTTCGTTGCGCATGGACGGTATGGCGATCCCCACAGGCCTGGTCCCAGGTTTATGCCGGGACGTGGTTGCACCAACTACGGCTTGCCATCGCTGGGCTCACCTACCAAATCAGTCAGCGCGGCAAGGCTGTCCGGCGCGGATGCCGACAAGATAGAAATGCATATCTTGCCGATTTGGCCACCCAAGCCGATCAGGCATCACCGGCCCAGGTTCACAAGGCTATCACCCGCCTACTGAGGCCCAGGCGGTTCCGCAGACAGGGACCGGCTCCGTTGCCTAAGTTGTATAACCGTAAAGGGGAACTTTGTTCTGACCCACAGACCATCAGACAGGTTTGGCGAGACCACTTCGCGCGCCTTGAGGGCGGCACGACTTGCAGCCCAGAGGAACTTGTCAGTCTATGCGTCCAGCGACAGAGGCAGAACGGCGTTCAGGACACGCTGCACTGCGATGAGATGCCGTCCTTCGACCAGCTTGTGACGGCGCTCCGCCGTGCGCAGCCATTTAAGGCATGCGGGCCAGACCTCATACCGCCTGCACTTTGCCACGAGCACGCGGTTGAAGTCGCTGCGATCTTATGGCCCATAGTCATTAAGGTTTTGACGCAAGGGTCTGAGCCCATCGGCTTCAAAGGAGGGCGTCTATTTCACATCCCGAAGCCGAACGCGGCGGTGAAGCATTCCACCGACGCGCACCGTGGAATACTAGTGCAATCGGTATTCGGCAAGGCCCTGCATCGTACGGTGCGCGCCCTGCCGGTTGAGTTCATGGAACGGCACGCCCCAGAACTGCAATTAGGCAGCAGACAAGGAAGGTCTCACACCTTTGGGTTCTTTATCAGTCGATGCTTTCTAGCATATGGCCGAGCGCATAACGAATCCGTTGCACTGATTTTCCTCGACTTGCAGGCAGCATACTATGCAGTGGTGAGGGAGCTCATCCTCGGTGCGGACCTCTCCACCGACAGCCTGTCGGATGTTGTTGCATCACTTGAGCTTCCCCAGGGTGATGTTGAGGCAATTGCAGACTATGTCGCTTCGGACCCAGTGCTGAATGCTGCCAATTCCTCCCAGCTGCTCCGGATGCTTGCCCGAGAACTTCACGTCGACACCTGGTTCCACGTCCACGAAGATGATGCACTGATCAGGACCAGACGAGGCACTCGACCAGGAGGGTCTCTAGCCGACATCGTTTTTGCTCTCCTCTTCTCTCGTGTTCTGGATAGGAGGGAGCACTACCCAGAGCATACTATTCCCCGCATTCCGTGGTCTGGACGAAAGGAGCTCATCAGCTTTGAAGCGGCTGACACCCAACAATGCTCCTATGCAGAAGTCAAAGAAGTGATTTTCGCAGATGATCACGCAGCGTGCATCAAGTCAGCTTCCGCGGAGCAGCTTGCCCCAGACGTCCGCCATGTCGCGGGCATCACTTTCGACTCTGCCACGGCCCACGGACTGACTCCCAACATAGGACCCAAGAAGACTGCCGCCATCTTGGTGCCACGGGGTCAGGGTTCTAAGCGGGCAAGGGATAGTATCTTTGGGAAAGGCAAGGGCAAACTGCATGTTTTGCGCGAAGGCGCACCTGCTATTCAGCTCGATGCAGTCCCTGCATACAAGCATTTAGGGTCAACCTTGACCCACAGTGGCTCTCTTGTCAGCGAAATCCGTCATCGCCTTGCCCTGGCGCGGGCAACTTTCCGGGAAGGCAGAAAGAAAATCTTCGTTTGCCCCCAGATCGCGTTGCGTAGAAGGGTTCAGCTCTTCCAGGCACACGTGCTATCGACGCTTCTGGCCGGCGCGGGTGCCTGGCCGTGGCTCCCACAGGAAGCCTGGTCGCTCTTTCACCAGGGCCTCACAGCCATCTTTCGTCAACTCGTTCGCATCCCACATGATGCCTCACAGCATTGGACGAGGGAGGACGTTTATGATGAATGCAAGGTCCCCTCACCACAGGATCTGTTGCACGCCGAGCGGCTACGCTTTATGGGCCAGATGCTCCGGCATGCACCGGACGCAGCATGGGCTCTCCTACAGCACCATGAAGCAGCCCTACGCGCATTTCATGCTGCTTGCGATTGGCTCTACGAAGCGGTAGCGTCCACCAGTGACCTCGGAGAGCACCGTGTCGCTTGGCACCGATGGAGTGCTGTGGCTCAAGGTAGAGTTCGGCAGTGGAAGGGCTTCATAAAAAGGGCCACTGCCTGGCATATCAATCGCCGACATGCATGGGCCTGCTTTATGCGTTTTGCCCGCCAATGCTGGGATCCGGTTCCCGCCGATCCGAGGGTCAGCCAACTTCCTGAGCACGCGTGTCTGCAGTGCCGCCGGGCATTTCCGAACGCGCACACATGGGCGTCTCATGCTGCACTACAGCACGGGTTCCGCACCAAGGCGCGTCGCCTGGCCAGGGTCACAGTGCCAGGCGTGTGGCTCTGCATTTGCATGCCACGCCCGACTGTGCAATCACTTGTCATCGGCTGTGCGCTGCCGCCAGGCCATCGAGCGCGATGATCCCCATCTTTTACCCGTTTGCACAGCACCGGACGGACATTCTCAGAGTCGCGCGACCCCGGGCAGGGGCACACAGCACCTGCCGCCTGCCTCCACTGAGACATCAGTCGAGTTGTTGAAAGCATTGCGGAGTGGCCATTTCACCGAGGATTCACAGATACTCGACAAAATTGTTGAGTTTGTCGAGCCTTTCGCCCCGCTCAAGCAAACTCTGCAGGAATGGATCCGCGAGCTTGCCCCCGGCTTCACCAGAAGCATCGCCGAGGACGTTCTGCTCTGCTTTCAGATCGACCTCTTGTGTGATGAGGTCCATACTAGGACGGCGCCAGCACCAGAACAGGCCAGTTTTACTCCGCATGTCCTTCCCCTCCTGTGGTCTCCTCGACCGGCCGGATTGCCTGGCCTTGCTGCCGGCTTGGTTTCTGCCACGGATCTCGACTGGATTGGAGTTTGTCCAGGTGGAGGTTGGCGTTTTCTGCCTCTTTCGATCACACCTCCTCCCAATGCCTGTTGGGCTTGTATCTTCCTCACTCTCCCGCCTCCTCCGGTGGCGTGCTCCTCCTTATGGGATGTTCCCTCGTGCCAGATCAAGCAGCAAGCACGACACGCTTCATGGCTGCACCGGTCGCTCGAGTGGATTTCCCTTGTTTTCAGTTGTGCAAAACTGGGGAGAAGATGCCACATCCGTCTGCACAAACGTGCCGACATAGCGGGGCTTTTTGGCGAGTGGCTAGAGACAGCCTGTGCGGCAGGCTCGGGCGCCGCCCTCAGTTTCAGTTTCACCGTTTGTTAGTTGAATTCATTTGCAGTAGGCGCGTTCATACTTGGACTCATGGCCTCATGAAAGAAAGAAAGACTAAGTTCCTCAGCAAGGAACCAGTCTTTCTTTCAGAGGTTTGGACGGACTGGGGGCTGTCCTGATACAGGCTCGCATGATATAGGGGCCTTCATACCCAGAATATAGTTTGGGGATATATTATACATTCACACTAAACCCTAAACCCTAACCCCCAAAACCCTTTCCCCGTACATTGGGCTTTGGATTTGAGGTTGTCGTCCTTCCTGGGCTCATGGATGCGGTCCTCGCCACCTCCCTGGCTGTGCCGGCCGGGCTAATGAAGAAGCCTTAATAATACAGTAATGAGAATAGGGTTCCTTTGAGGGGTGTCACAAGGGTTCCCTTTAGGGCTACTACAAGGGTGTAGTATAGGGGCCTAAATGAGGGTTTGGGCTCCTTCGTACTGTCATAACAAGGAACCCAAAAGGAGTAATGTTGGTATGTATTCAGACCCAAAACAATTACCAATATTGTTCCTTTGGTATTCAGACCCAAAATAACTACCAATATTATTCCTTTGGGTTCCTTAAAATTGGCGTGCGGAGGAGCCCAAAACCCTCTTCCAATTACTAAGGCCCCCAGATTATTCAGAGATTGGCGTGACGGTCGTGTCCTAGGGTAATCTGTACTGCAACTCGCACTGACCAGTTTGTGGGCTGCAGGTCTTACGGGTTTTACACGGTGTGTGGTTCACGGGGGTTTGCGTTGATACTGATAGCTTTGGTCTTGTTGTAGCAGTAAGTGTTGTCACTGTGAATGACATGCAAGCCTGGTTCCTTTTCCCAACCTGTCCCAGCTCTCACAATGTGGGACGGGATAAAGGCACATGGACGCGAGCGCTTCAGGTCATGCAGCTGTTGCTGCTATTTGCTACTATAGGCGGATCGATTTTGCGTCTTTTGTGGAGTGGGCTTTCTGGGAGTCCCCAAGCCCTCAACCCTCAACCGTAAACCCCGAAGCCCACCCAGCCCTAAACCCTGAACAGAAGGCGTACCTCATTTTGGGGTCCTTATAAGTAATACGGATCCTACCATATAGTGTATTATATTAGGGTCCCTTATTTTCCTGGGGTCCTTATACGTAATCAGGATCCTACCATATAGTGTACTATATTAGGGTACCCTATTTTCCTGAATCGCAGATGCTTCTGCTTGGCCCCCTCGGCTGGCTCATCACTGCTCTGAACATGATTGGCGGCCTGGTGCTGGTGACCGGTCCCCGGAGGGCAATACCCAGAGACTCCAATATCCCTTAATTATGGAATACCCAGGGCTCCTTTAAGGGATCCTGTAAGGGATCTAGACGGTTTAGGGTTTAGGGGACTCCAATATCCCTTAATTAAGGAATATACCTTACATTATAAAAGGATCCCTAATATGATTTAAGGAATATTCCCTAATTAAGGGGTATTGGAGTCTCTGGGCATAAGGGCCTCAACAGGGTTGCGGGTTTAGGGCTTACCGACATCAGTCTTTGGGGATTCCTTGCTACAATAGTAACACTACCCCCCTATATTCGAGTTTGGGGTGTCTGCTGCAGTTAGCTGCCCACTCTCAGAAAAGGGGTGCCGAACCCAACTTCTTGTCTATTTTTTGGTCCTTAATCGTGTTACCCCGAGCCAGCCCACAGGCATAGACCCGCATCGACAGACCCTCCCATAGGTCTGCCCTCCACCACTCCCAGTGCCCGCGTGGATGATGTCAGTAGCAAAGGTGCTCCATGCACAGGCTGTACAAGCCATTCCACCAAGCGCTACACCCTAAACCCGGAGGTACAGCACAGTAAAAGAAGCCGGAGGTACAGGAACGATGGGCTGAACTCTTTTGACTCAACACAAAAACCCTCAACTCGGAACCAACCCTAAAGCACAAACCATAACCAAGCCACAAAGACACCCAAAACTCCAAACAGCCCTGAAGCCCAACACCCGAACCCCCAAACCTGGAACAACTTTGCAGAACCCCCATGAATCCCTTTGTCAAAAGCTGCTATTCTAAACCCTAAATCCTAAACTACTTCTGACCCCCCCAAATACCTACTATAGGGGCTTGAGTAATTACCTATACTACTCCCTGACGATCTCTTTAAAGGAACCCTATTTTCATTATCAAGGCCTCTACATTACACAGGCCGGTGGTCTCTTTATCTGTTCCTCTTACTGCCTAAAATAGCCCCAACAAGGATCCCCATATACAGCCCCTGAAAACAGAAACCCCAAGTAAAGAGACCTAGCCTAAACCCTACACCCTAAACCCTTCAGGTGTTCGAAGTAAATGCCTATTGCCTGCCCAAATGGGCTTTTGAGACGCTCTCTGCAGATCGAAAAGAAGCCGTTAAACAAATCAAAAATTTAAAAAATAATGAAAAAACCTACAGTGAGCAAAAGTGAGGCCGGCTCTCCACTTCGCCTTCCGCACGGGTCAGTACCTGTCAGTGCCCACAGCTTTTGGCTTGTCCTGTAGTGGGGTTTGGGGTTTGGGGTTTAGGGTTTAGTGTTTAGGGTTTAGTGCTCAGGGTTTAGGGTTTAGGGTTCTGGGGCTCAGTGGTTTGGCGGTTTGGAGTCAGAATAGAAGGACTTTTCGGAAGGACGGCTTTAGGGCCTTAGGGTATAAGTATTTTCTGTTTTGGATGTTCGTGTTTAGGATTTCGTAGCTTGAGAGTTTGGGGGTCTAGCAATTGAACTTGGTGCTATGCCTTCTGTTTCACGCTCGGGCTTCGGGCAGCGGTTTCTGTGTAGGGTTTACTTGGGAGTTTCCGACAATGGGGGTCCTTATAAAGGATCCTACTATTTCGGGTGCTATATAGGGTCCCCTATTTTCGGAAGCTCCCACTTCGTAGCTTTGCGACCTTTGGGTTTAGGGCCTTCGTGACAGGTTTGGCCCTCATTGCAACTATGTGCCTTTTCAGGTCGCTCCTCGTTTGCTGCTTTTGGGACGGTATGTTGGCTATGGACTTCAATTAGGGACCCAGAAAGCACATAAGCATAGGCATTTTATGGGGATATCCCTACCTTATTGGCCTTCCGTTTAAGGGGGTTTACATGGGATATCCGTACCTTGCTTATGTGCTTTTTGGGGGCCCTATTATTCAATGAGCCAAGCCCAAAAGCACCGTGGATCAGAGCCTCTGAAGCATTCTGCCTGCGACACAACCTCACCCTCTGCTCCAAGTACCTTAAACTTAAAACCCTAAACCCTAAGCCCCTAAACACTGCCAGCCAGATTCCGAACAGACCTTGCGTACCGGCAGAAGGAGACTAGGGGAGCCTTAACAAAAATTGGCTGTTTAACAGTGATTAAGTTCAGTTTGAGGCGCGTTCGCCTACACATGTATGAAGTAGATAGTAGGCTTTTTGCTATAGTGGTATCTTACGTTAAAACTCCTGAGCAGAAGGATTAATCCTAAACCCGAAACCCTAAACCCTAAAGAGCTTAAAACAAAAAACCCACTAAGGATGGGTGAGCTGGACCTCTCCGGGGAGGGCCGCCGCGACTACCTAAAGGAGGCGCTGGAGATCTTCTGCTTAAGGGCCCTAAACCCTAAAACCCTAAACTGCCTGGAATAGGGTTTTGGGCGATATGATATCATGGGGGCTACCAGGGGGATGCTATTCGTAACTACGATCGGGTTTAGGGTCTAGCGCGTGTCACCAAGTCTTCCTGCTCAGTTGTTCCCCTCAGCCTCCAAACCCAACTTGCTTCCCGACCAACTTTACAGCTTTTATGGCGGCAGTGTCCCTTCCTTTGCATGTAGCATCGTGATACTGTGCACACCTCCGACCTTTGCGTAGTGAAGACTCGTGGACATCTGTTTGCTGTTGCCTTTCACAAGAAAGCACACTCTGTGCCATGTGCAGTATTCGGGGAACCTTGCAAAAGCCATCCACTGCAGGTGGAAGCAGCTGTGTCCTGGGTGCGGGAGCCCAGCTTCTTTTTTGGTTCTGGGCTTCGGGATTTCGACGGTCTTGCCGTTTTGGATAAAAGGGTTACGTGCTAGTGCTGTTCCAAGATGAGACGACCTCAAAACAGAGCGTGCGCTCCCTTTCCGTCCAGTACTTGCTTGCCACAAACACTGACCTAGATAACTCTAGCCCCAAACCCTAGCCATACATCTGAAGCGTGGAGCTCTAAACCCAACGTGTAAACCTGACACCCTCTGATAAATGCCCTTGCGTCCTGGGCCATGAAAGTTTAAGTCTTTACACTTACTAAAGTCCTGCCCGAAAACTCCCAACTCCACTTTTAGCCGACTCAACACTGAACTCCAACCCATAACGGTAACCCTTAACCGCGAACAACTAAACCCTAAACCTGTTGGAGCTTCCTGAATGGAGTGGTGAACCAGCACAAACAGTACCGGACAGTCGTCGTGTTCGTCAAGTGATGTGGAAGTACACAGGGACAAGTAGCTAAAAGGTCGGTCGCCAACTTGCCTTCCACTATGGTGGATTCTGGACGTTAGCAAGCTGGCAGACGGAAAAAGGCGTTCAACAAAAAACCTTACACTCCACACCTGGACCTTCAACACTCCAAACCGTAGATCACACCGATGTCTGGGAGGCGGAGGAGAACGCAAAGGCGCTGAAAAGCGACGGCCGTCTGGTGCTCTGCGGTCTTGTCCCCAGTCTCTGGTAATGTAGGCACCTGATTAAGAAGCCCTGGGCCTATAACCCCAAAATAGTAGGATTCATATAAGGAACCCAGACAAAGGCCCAAGGTTTCTTAATCAGGTTCCTATAAAAAGGCTCAGGGACACAGAATGGGCTTCAGGCTTCCGAAGGCTTCAACATTCGCTCCGGAAAACGTAGGGTTTAGGGTTTGGACAAGTTCGAGGTTTCAGAGTTCCGAGGATGTGCTATAGGGGTCGGAAAAATTAGCAGCAGCATCCCCTTATAGTCCCTGTTTGTTTGGTGTTTGGTGTTCAGGGTGTAGGGTGTTTGGAGTATTTCTTCAGAATGCGGCTTGTAGGTAGTGTAGTATCCACCTTGTTGTGCTTGAAGCATAGGCTCCACTTAGATTCCGACGGCATGATAATGTACGAGCCTAAATAATTACCAGTACCATTTTTGGGGTTCCTGATTATTATGACCATAGTATTATAGTACAAGTACCCCAAAACTCTATTCTGATTTTTTCAGCTTATTAGCTGCAGAGCTAGCAGCAGAATCGAGTAACCCGAACCCCGAAGCCTAAACCGCATGCAGTGGCAACGAGGGCAATCATTTGCGTGATGTGATGTCCTGCACGATCCAGGGACCCGTTGTAAAGTTTAAGACTTTAGACCTTTGGGTTTCGGGGTTTAGGGTTTAGGGTTTAGGGTTTAGGGTTTAGGGTTTAGGGTTTAGGGTTTAGGGTTTAGGGTTTAGGGTTTAGGGTTTAGGGTTTAGGGTTTGGGGACCAATGACCCCCCTAATTTATGATTCCGTACCGCAGGTTACTCTTCCGGTGGCCATGTGGCGGCCCTCTACGGGTTGGAACACTGTGCGGCCGCAAAAAAAGGTATGCTGCCTCAATCTTGCAGGGGGGGTGGGGGGGGGGGGGGGTTAGTAAAGTGGAAGTTTCGCGGCATCGTTCATAATCGCTAGGTGTAACGTATCTAGGTTTGCGTTATCTGCTGGTTATGCTGGTTGCGATTGCCACTGTGTGCATGCTCCAAACTGTGCTGCTCTCAATGTTGTGTACGATGGTAGCGCACACCAAGAAGCGTCTGGAATCTAGGCATGCCCTGAGATTTATTGGCAAGCTAGGCCTGGAGTTGAGCCGGTGCACGTAGTTTGCATCGAAGACTGCCAGGGCTGTAGCGTGTGTTCGAGTGAGTAAGTGAGTGAGTGAGCAAGTGCATGTGCTTGTTCTTTGGTGCGTGTGTTGTCTTTTGTTTAGTCTTAGGCGGTCGTTCGTCGACTCGGGGTACTGCAAGTTAAGCCAGTCAAGAAGCTTCAGTTTCTGTCTCTACCCCTGCCTTCCTCCCTCCCTCTCTCCCTCCCTTGCCCACTCCCTCCCTCCCCTCCCCTCCCTCCCTCCCTCCCTCCCCTCCCTCCCCTCCCTGACCTCCCTCCCCTCCCTCCCTCCCCGCATTCCTCTCTCTGTCAACTGTTTCATCTCATGGGCGCCGGCGGCTGCACGTGCACATGCGTATGCATCCTTCTATGTGTATGATTATGTATATTCGCGCGTGCACATACATACTTTGCATATGTCTACCACTCTACCTGAAGGCCCATGCATTTTTGAAGACATTCGACGAAATCTAACCACCTCGAACTCCAAAACTGCAAAGCCGCAAAACCCCCGAAAACCAAATCCTCTACTCTACATGCAAAATTGTGCCTCCTCTCCAGCCTGGACCCTAAACCCCTCAACCCTTAAGCCCCGAAGCCCTAAACTTAAACCCCCCAAAACCCTAAACCCCTAAGCCTCTATCCATAGTGCTATCTTCCGATAGCCCGCTCTGAGCCCCTAAGCCCCTTGAAGCCCCTAAACGCAAAAAACCCCTTGAAGCCCCCAAAACCCTTAAATCGGAGGCTTCAAAAGGTAGGATGAAGGTAGGTGGGATATTCCCCAATAAGAGTCCTTATATAAGGGATCCTTAATCCTACCTACCTTCATCCCACCTTTTGAGGCCTCCGATTAAACCCCTTGAAGCGCCTTGAAGCCCATAAGGTAAAAGCCAGAAAGTTGGAATATGATTATCCTAAACCCTTTCATGGCAAATTATAGGGTATCCTACCCTGAAACCATACTCCAACTTTCTGGAGTTCCCTTTAAGCCCCGACGCCCCTAAGCCCCAAAAGCGCCGAAGCCCGAAAGTTGCCGAGCCCACTGAGCCCCTGCCCCCGGATGTTTGGAAACTAGAAAACCCCTAAACCCAAAAGACCCCTTATGGAAAAGGGTCGTCTAAAAAAAAAAGACCCCTTATAGAGACCCTAAATATTCAAGGATCCCTTAAGAGGAAACCCCAAACAACCTAAAACCAGCAAGTTAATTTCCAGGAAGGGGCCGATTCGAGGCGGTAGTCCTGGTCTCAGGCACCTCCTTGCTAGGGTTTTGGGATTTAGGGGTTTAGGGGTTGGGGTTTAGGGGTTTAGGGGCTTAGGGGCTCAGAAGGGGGATTAAGGGGTTTAGGGGTTTAAAGGGTTTAGGGGTTTAGGGAATCCCTTAAACTCCTCTAAAGTAGTCCCGATAACCCATTCCTGCACCACTACGACTAAACTCCCGGACCCAAAGCTCCTAAGGCCCAAAACCCTAAACCCTACCCGGAGTTCCAAACCCTACACCTGAAAGAAAGGGCCGTCACAACTTAAACACACACCCTATAGTGAACCCCAGAAAGTTGGAGCATGGAGTTAGTTACCTTAAGGGCATGAGGGTAATGGTGTTCCAACTTTCTGGCTTCTACTGTAAACCCTGAACCCCAAAGAAAGCCCTTAACCCTAAACCCTAAACCAAACAAACACCTTATGTAAACTCTGGGCATCCTGAGGTTTGGAGCGGAGTTTGGGTTCAGGTTTTCAGGGGTTTGGGCCACAAGGTTTGCAGAGTTGCAGGGTTTCTTTTCGCCCTTTTTTTGGGAAGGGGGCCTTCCTTGTTAGAACAGCTTTGAGGTACCTGCAACAGGACATTCGGAGAAGCATGACGCCCAGTTTTTGTCGGAAAGGCTTTCATGCAGGGTAGTATAGGCGGCTTGATCATTAGAACAGCTTTGAGGTGCCTACAGCAGGACATTCGGAGAAGCATGACTGCATCGTTGATGCCGCCCCTCCGGGACAAACAAGTCTAGGCCTCTGAACCCGGAGCTCTTTCTCTTTGAAGGTTTCGGTGTTTGTGTCGCTTCCCAGCTAGTGTAAACCCTAAACCCCTAAACCCTAAACCCCTAAACCCTAAACTCTAAACCCTAGGCTCGAACTCTGCTGGAAAAGGGGCTATTGCACTTAACAAAAACCCTAAACCCTAAACCCCTAAACCCTAAGCCCTAACCCCCGAAGCCAGGAATCTACGACCTCCGAACGAACTGGAAGGACGCGCGCCGCTTCCTGGCGCCGGTCATGAACCTCATCTTCAAGGCCTGGTAAGCTTACGGTTTCAGAGTTTAGGGTTTAGGGTTTAGGGTATAGTATGTGCATCTGCTCAGGCGTCCATCCTCTGACTTGCATCTACCTGCGAGCCTTTCTAGGCTCAGAGAGGCATCTCATAAGGCGCCTGGGGTCCCAACTTTAAATTTCTTCTCATTCTTAGAGGTCATCTCAGCCTTATGGCTATGATCAAGAAGTATGTTTACAAAGACTGGAGCTTCGTTTCTTTCGTGTTGTGGTGCTTGTGGCGCTAAAAGAGTGTGGGCCTCAGATCAGGTTTCTCCACTTTTAACCAAGGGCAGTGATTGAACCTTGCAAAGGTCATGAGCCCAAGCCGCTAAATTACTGCGTCGCTATGGCTTCGTCGGGGCTTTCAGCTGCTTCAGAAGAGGCACGCACGGCTTCGGAGCATGAGCCACTGGGAAATCCTAATCTCCAGGACTTACCTTTAGCCTCTGCACAATCTGCGACGGATAAGCGTGGGGAAATGCAGAGCGCATCGCTTGAACCGGGACATCGGCTAGATGCAGATGTTCCGGGCGCGAGTGGGCCGTTGGAGCAGTTGGGAAATGTCTGGTGGTCTGAGCGAGCAAACGATGAGTTTCGACTTCAGCATATGCGCCCACTTTCTCTGCCACCGGTGGATTCGGCCACAGTCGGATCGGAATCTGCGGATCGCTCGCAGAGTCACCGGTATGATGCCGCTGAATTTGAGTTGTCGCATGGACGTGAGCCCGAATACTTCAACATTGCTTCGCCTGATGGTGGGTCGAGACCTGGGTCTGTAGGTGATTCTCGTCAAGATGTTACCGTCACTGAGTCAGGGACAACAAGGGCATTTAGAGGAGATCGTGCCCAGTCTGTCGGAGACTCTGGTGTTTGAGCTGCTACGAGACAGCCGTTGAGAGATGGTGCTGTTCCTCAACGCATTGCCTTGCGTGATGCGAGCAATGTGGCACAATCTTCTGTCGCCGCAAGTCTCGGCTTAGATCGGGATCAGTGGGCAACCAATGTCCCTGCGTTGGACCTCGTGAATTTCATGACCGAGGGACAGCGACAGGATCCTCTGTTGATTGCGCTGGTTAAACGTCTGGAAGAAGCTGAAAGCCGAACACGATCGTCGAGCAGCATGTTTTCAGTGTACGATTTTAACTCTATCGAAGCACTCGGCAAAGGCCGAGGATCCAGTAGTGTACAGGGTAGCGTAGGTCAGACTGCAGAAATGAGAAGAAATTCTAGTAGTGAAGGTATCGCTAGGGCTAGAGATGGTTTTCCTAGACAGGCCTTTGAGACCCTTTCTGAGCTGCGCTTGCCCTCTCCAGATCCTCGCCTGGGCCCTTCAGGTTACTCTCAGCAGCAGTTCCATCCTTTGCAATCTTCGCCAGTGCAGCCTGGACTTGGCTTTTCGGAGCGAGCAGAAAGCTTACGGACTGGTGGGATAGTAGGTAGTCTGGATCCATTTTCAGGTGACATGTTGTTCAGGCAGTCTTTGCATCAACCTCAACCTGAAGTCTCCACTCCTGGATTTGGAGACAGGTTGGGCGATAGACGCCTAGATCAAGGCACGAGTTTGGTAGGCGACCTTCGGGACCTGGATGCGTTGCAAACTTCAGCTGCCGGACAGTTGCACTGGGGACAAGGTTCGTTAGGGCTTAGGGGTGATAGTGGTTTAGGTGGTACATTTGGATGCGGGTTAAGGACACCTTTCGTGAATCCGCAGGGCCAACAACAACAGGTCCCTTCCAACCATGCCTGTATGTATCCGGTGAACCAATCAGCGTTGTCCCAACAATTGATTGGTCAGGAGCTGGTTCCAAGGCCACCAGTAGTTCCACCGCTACCAAAAGGCACTGGGTCTGATCTTAGACCCTCCGTGAGCCTTTTAGACCTAGATCCCATCCCAATAGAAACTCCAGCGCAGCAGAATCCTGTAAGCCAGATTCCTCTAATCGACATTTTGTCACCAAAAGCTGCGCAAAGTACTCCTTTTGTACCCCCGCCGCCATTGCAGCCAGCTCCTTCAACTCCCAGAACTCCACGAGTCGGCACGTCAGGAGGAGCAGCCTACACACCAGGTGGCACACAGGTACCATCCGGTCCTCCGCCTGCTACTCCGTCACCACGAGGAGTTACATTTGGCCCGGTGACTAGTGTACAGTTGCCTCCTTCACCTATTCCGAGCCCGCCAGTTCCTCCCCATGAGACACATGGAATCATCAGCTCTAGGCCTGAAGAGCCCAGTAGGTTGGTGCAGTCTTTGCCTGCGCTTGTGGTGAATGCAAGTGGTTCAGATGCGTCGGTTATCACTGGTGATTGGCTGGCACGGCTAGGCCCAATCATGCGCAGCATGTCATCTTCTGCGTCAGTGTGGTGGCAGCAGTCTGTAGATTATGCCATGGCCTTGTACAATCAGTGGCTGCATGCTGATCCCTTAAATAGATTGGAGATAAAGACCAGTGCTATTCGCTTTACCCATGACTGGGGTACTATGTGTCTTGTAGAGGAAAGATCTGCTGTACTTCTCTTGCAGTCAATCCCGGCTGAACTTCAGGCTCAGGCTGTATCAGTACGAGCTTTGAGGACTGTTGCCTTGTTGTTTCTGGTTCTCTCGCGGTTCCAGCCCGGAGGAAGCTCCGAGAAGGCCAACATTCTAGCTTTCCTGACACAACCAACCATTGAGGGTTCGCCAGGGGCTGTTGCAAGCCATAGTGCACTGCGGAAGTGGGAAAGGTTATACCGACGTTGCAATGAGTTGAACCTGAGTCCCCCGGACCCAACGTTGCTTGTGAGGGCCTTGGACACGCTGGGGAAGTCTATCAGCAGTAAGTCGTCGCATGCAGGATTCCGACTTTCGACTTATCGTCATCAGAACCAGCTAGATTCGATCCCCACAGAATCTACGGTACTGCAGTACTCCCAGCTGTTGATTGCAGAAGCAGAAGCTCTTCCTGCATCTCAGGATGCAAATAAGCACCAGCGCGTAGCCGCGTTGAGTACGCAAGGTCAGGGTCAAGAGGATAAAGGAGTTGGCAAAGGGGATAAGCCTAAGAAGCCAGCACCTAAGGGCAAAGGCAAAGCATCGCCTAAGTCCGCCCCTTCCCAGCGTGAACCTTGTAAGTTCTTTTCGCAGCCCAACGGGTGTAGATACGGGCCAGCCTGTGCTAACTATCATCCTAGACTAGAGCCTACAGATGGTAGATGTTTTTCGTGCGGGTCAAGCAAACACAGTCAAAATGATTGCCCCCGTAGGTCGCAGCCGGAGCCATCTGCAAGACAAAAGGCTCAGGCTAAGAAAGCGCAGGTTAATGCTTCAGAGGAACATGCAGCTGAGACGAGCAGTCCACAACCATCCGTTGCCAAATCATCTGCCAAAGCACCTCCGCCTCCTTCAACTGCGGGATCCGCTGGTTCGGCCGTACCTCGGGTGTCATGTATTGGCCTCTCGGCTACTTCTGGCCTCCTAGATGGAGGGGCTACGCATGCACTTAGAGCGGCTATGCCAGGAGAGTGGGATAAGGCAAGAGAGATCAGTGTGAATCTGGCTACACGGTCCGCGACGCTGCGGATGAACAAGCTGGGAACTCTGTTGTCACAAGACCAAAGTCAACAGCCAATCTTGCCCCTAGGGGTTGCCATAGAGCAGCTGGGTCTTAAGGTCACTTGGGTTGGAGAGGTTTGTAATTGAAACGCTGCGCGTCGTCCGCCTCGGCCCGGCTGTTCGCGCATGCGGCGAGTGGCTACTATCTGCAGCAAGCTATTGTAGGAAAAAAGTAACAGTTGGAATCGCACTTATAGTAAAAGCAATGTTCATAGCAACACGAACCAGGAGGATTGTGAGTAGTATTAGTAGTGGAAGTATCAGTACGAATTTTGGTGTCGTCATTCCGAAACAGTGGATACCAAGACTCTCGCAAGCGGCGGGATGCCTTAAGTATGGGCCGTCGAGGTTGTGGATTTCGTGGGCGTCTTGGATTAGGGAAGCAGCACAGCCTTTTCAATCACGTTACGCCGCCTATCCCAACGAAAGGGCGTTTAAAACAAGCCTGAGACGCAAAGCCATCAATTCGATACCAACATAGGGGCCCAAACAACGATTAAGAACCTGCTGGGGTTTTTTCGGAGCAGACGAGGTGAGGTCACACAGATTAGGTCTTGGGTAAAACAGACTTGTGGTCTCAGAAACAGACGTTTAACACCAGAAACAGATATGCACGCTCAGAAACAAATAAAGGGTTTGCGGGTTTTCGGGTTTAGTGGTAGGGGTTTAGGGTTGGGGGTTTTGGGCCCCAAGATGTAGGGGTTTAAGGGTCGAGGCTTAGGGGGTTCAGGGTTTTGGATTTTAGGGTTTAGGGCTTTGGGGTTTTGGGGTTTAGGGCTTGAGGGTTTTGGGAACTAGGTTGAGGGCTTTAGGGGTTTTGGGGTTTGGGGCTTTAGGGTTGCGGGTCTAGGGCTTAGGCTTACGTGCTTTCAGGGTCTTAGGACTTAAGGTTTAGGGTTCGCGGCTTTAGGGTTAGTTAGTTAAGACGAGGTTGCACAAATTGGGTAAAGTATTGGGACCAAGGGTTTAGGATAAGGTTTCGAGTTTTTTCGGTGCATACAGGGGTGCTGTGGTGAGGGCTTGAGGATTTAGGGATTTTTCGGTTTAGGGTACGCTAGTTTTCCTTGCGGCAGCCTGCATGGTTCAATCTGCTGTTGATGGACCAACATCCTGCATGGTCCTAAACTCTTGCAACTAGGCAACATTTCTTAATACTGGGCACTGCAGGATTTGGACCATCAACCTGAGTTAATGAATAGGACAGCTTTCCCCTCAACCCCCTAAGCCGTAGACTTTCCAGCCGTAAAACCCTAAGGCCCAAGGCCTTCATGTTTGAACTCTAAACCCTAAGGTTCTACGCCCTTACCCCCTATAAGCCCTAAAGCCCTGAAGCCCTAATTCCGCCGCGGCCGCCGCGGCTGCCGACCTCGTCGGGCCCTCAGGGCTTTTGGGGTTAAAGTTTGGGGGTTTGGGTTTTGGATTTAGGGTCTCGGTGCTGACGGTTGCGGTTGTAAGGGGTTTAGGGTTTCGGGTCTAGGGTTTTGGGGTGTAGAGTCTAATGCTGAGGGCTTCGGGTTTTGGGGTTTAGGCGGGTTTTGGTTTAGGCATTTAGAACTCAGGGTTTGAGGGCACAGGGTTTGGGAGTTTCATTCAGGGTTTTGGCTGGCAGGGCTTGGGGCCTAGGGTTTTGGGGTGCGGTTGCAGGTTAGGGCCCAGGGCATTGGGGCGTAGGGTTTAAGCGCAGGGTTTTAAATTTTGGGATTCAGGCATTAGAGCCCTTCGGGTTTTGGATATAGGCATTTAGAACTCAGGGTTTCAGGGCACAGGGTTTCGGGGTTTAGTTTAGGGTTTGGGCGAGTAATGTATGTGGCCTAGGGTTTTGGGGTACGGGTGTAGGTTAGAGCCTAGGCTTTTGGGCTTCAGGGTGGAGGGCCCAGGGTATTGGGGTTTAGGCATGAAGTGCTTTCGGTTTTTGTGGTTCAGGCATCTAGAATTTAGTGTTTCGGGGTGGAGGGGCCCGTTCTTTTGGGGTTTAGGCATCGGGGCCTAGGGTTGTGGGGACAAGGGTTTAGTTTAGGGCCTTGGGTTGCAGGGTGTAGGTCAGGGCGTAGGGTCTTGGCTTCGGGTATAAATGTTTCCTTTTTTGGGAGCCACCATCACAGAGTGTCACAGGCCATCAAGACGGGACTGATGATGGACGTGTACTGCGATCTGACGCAGGTCAGTTGGCCCGATTGCACGTCCCGGAAGAACCCTGCCGCTCGGGCAGGTCAGAGTCGAGGCCTTTTGTATCGGCTTCGTCAAGGCGTGGCTCGAGAATGAAATGGCTATTGGCAAATGAAGCCTCCGCAGTGCCTTCTTGCACACTGCAGCCCAGAATCGGCTTGGCCGCCCAGTGTCCTGCTTCTGCTGCTTTGCTGCTTTGCCGGGGGTGGTTTAAATTATGGTTTTCATGTTACTCTCTTTGGATGGTTTAGTTTAGGCATTTGGGCTTAGGGCAGAGGGTTTTGGGGTCTGGGGTTGTAGGTTAGGGCTGATGCTTGCGTGACAACGAGTTTAACACCCAGGGCTTTAAAACTTCGGGGTTCAAGTGTAGGCATTAAGGCCTAGGTAAGGACCGACGGTGGTGAGGGCAAAGAGTTTTGGGTTATGGATTGTGGGGCGTGTGTCGCGGGGATGTCATGGCTGTAAACTTTAAGCCCTAAACCCCAAAACCCTAAAGCCCTAAACCCCAAAACCCTAAATCCTTAAAGCCTCAACCCTAAACCCCTACATCTTAAGGCCCAACACCCCAAATCCTAAACCCTTCAACCACCAAAGCCCTACACCCGAAAATTTTAAAACTCAAAACCCTAAGGACCTATACCCAAAACCCTAAACTGAACCCCAAAACCCTAGATAGTAAACCCTAAGCTATAAACCCCAAACCCCAAAACCGTAAACCCAAACCCCTAAATTTTAAATCCTAAACCCAAAACCCCTGCCCTCGACTAAACCCCAAAAGCCTAAC